GTAGACTGCTCAACTCGTGGAGCAAACTCTACCATTGATCATCATGCTGTAATGAAAGGAGGGTGAAAAGAAGCCGAGCTTCCCTGAAGTGTCCAATTGATAGTTGCAGCAAGACTTGTAACAATCAGAACGATATATGTGCACACGTACAATGGGATCATAACATTAGGCAGTTCAAAAGGATCTTCCCATAACTAAAATCGGGGAAGTCACTGAATAACTATCAGAGAAAGTCCTTCTCTTCCAACCCAGTTTCTTCCATCAACTGGGGAGTTTGAACGTTTCTGTCAATCCTGCAAGCTTTAATGATCCACCAACCGCCTTAGCTGGATAAAGCAGAGCCCAGAGTTTCTAATGATGCTACCAATTGTATTTATGCTCCTTATACATTAAAACATACTGGAGCTATGGAATGTCTCTAGCAGGCTCTAATGATGACTTTAACCGAGGCTTGATTAACATGCCAAAGTGAGTAGAACAAAAGAAGACTCCTCCAGGATAGCACAAGAACCTTGCCAGATCCTATTGGAGCTGGCGAAGATGAAATATCCCTAGCAACTGCTAGGGAGATACTTCTGAAGATCACTTCCTTCCACTGCTAATTCAATGTTGCCTTAGAGAGTCTACTGACGGACATGTGAGCAGTGAGTGCTAATATGATTATAAAATTTACTTTATTTTTGTATACTTTTTTATTGTAACTTTATTTTTTATATACCATTATTATTAGTTATTATTTAAAGTTTTATGTGTATTAAGTATAAAATCATCTTTTAAAGATTTTTCAAGTGCTTGAATAATTTTGAATAATCAACTGGCCCTTTGATAAACGTGCACAAAAAAATGCAATTAGCCAGAACACCATCAGCAAAGTATGATGGTTAGGATGAACAGCAGTGATGGGGGAGCTAGAGTAATCAGTTTTTGGCATTATGGTGACATATATTTTAGTCTGGGTTTTTATAACCCTACTGCCAGAACCGTGTGTATTAGGCCAAACCCACCAGCCTCAGAGTGCCAACAATCATTATATATATATTGACCTGTGATAGTAACCAAAATCTCACCATCGGTACCTTCTAAATAAAAGAAATGTGTTTACCCTCAAAAGAAACTATATCATGAAAACATATTAAGTATTTATGAAGGGAACACACTAAGAAATAGTTCGTGAAATCTGTATTTCATTGCCATATGAGTACTTGTACCAGGGACTGGCTCCCTATAAGAGGACATAAGCCCTAGCCAACTAGAGAGCAACATAAAACTCTGGGTATCAGGCTACTTCTGAGTTTATTTGTCCAAATGTAAATACACTAAAGTTGTGGAGCTTTGTTTGAACAAATTCGAACCATGGTAATAACACAGCCTGATTCAAGGTACTTTGTCGAAGATGACTCATGACTGCATTGTCCAAACAGCAGAGTGAAGGAGGAGGATATGTCTAGCTACGTTGAGATACTTTAAAGCATGAAGGGTGTTTCGGCTAAAGCTAAACACAATGTAAGATAAAGCATCTGGCCATGCTCTATGTGAAGTGCCTTAAAAATACTGTCATTGTGACCATCACCACAGTATCTAGAGTTGGCATACCTACCCTATGTCTCAAGTTGTCATGTTATAGGTATATAAGTACATATGAGCACTACGGGAAGATACTGTTTTGTGCTTCGGGACCACATTCTAATATGAAGTGGGCCCACATTTCATGTTATTAGTGCTCTGAATTCTGTTACTAACACTTGCAGTCAACTATTAATCAACATAGGAAGGAAGAGACCACCACATCTGATTTAAAACAGTTTCAAGTGCATTGCGATTTCGATTATTTTTATAATATTAAAAGCATATCAGTAGCAATATTAAGGTCATCTTGGGAGTTATAATGTGACGGTCAATACTTAAGATATGCAGATTGTTTAGTAAACTTTGTATGTTTACAACTTAAAACCGTTTATATTTGGCCAAAGAGAAATTAATCATTTAAGAGTATTAGAGCACAAGTGACATATATATATATTTAATATATTTTCATGCATAAAATGAAAACAGAAAACTATTAAATATAAGTCGGGAAGAATTAGAAGCACATAATTAATTAGAAATGGTTAAAATATAATCAAAAGGAACAAGAAAAGGGAAAATGAATTGTGCTATTGAATAAAACAGATTATATTAATAAAGCTCGAGGTATTTTAATAGATGAAACTAAATTTAAGATATTAGAAAAATATCCTATGAAAACTATAAAAAAAAACAATGTATAAAAATATTCATTCAATTTGAAAAAACAAGGGTTACTAATTGATTATGAATATAAATTGCTAAGACCGACAAGATCACAAGCAGATTCTTTTATGAGTTATCTAAAGCACACAAAGAAGGATGTCTGATAAGGCCAAGATATATATAATATTGGTACTTGTTTATCATGACTTGGCAGATTTTCTTATAAATTGTATTGGATTACTACTTCAGACTGTTTCAATTGTGAAAGAAATACAGAATTTAAATTTTGGAAATAATGGTTATGTGTGCTAGCTAGCTTTAATATTAAATCATTATATGCAAACATACCTTTGGATGAAACATTTAATATAGTTGTTAATCTGGTTTGTAATCAGGATAACCAGAATATATTATACAAATAAGTATTTAGGAAGTTATTAGATTTAACTACAAAAAAATCTCATTTTGTGCTTAATCAAGAGATATCTGGTCAGACAGTTGATATTGTTATGTGATCTAGACTAGCACTAGTTCTGGCTGAACTGTTTCTATGTTATTATGAAAAACAGTGTATGTATTATTGTTTTGAAGAATTTAAACCTATCTATTACAAAAGATATGTAGACGACACATAGCTTTCCTTAACTAACTAAAACTCTTTTGTTGTTGTTAAGCACAAAGCTACATGATGGGTTATCTGTGCTGTGCCCTCCATTAAAGGTGATTACCTACACTTTTTTCATGCGGTATTTCAGTCTTGGAGACTATAAATGGATTTACACTACTACTACTTGGCATAGTATTGGCTTTATACTGGTATGGCACTTTTTGACTGGTTGATGATACTCAATCACTGTGTAAGCTGTCAGCAACTGACTTTAGTGTAATTCATTTTTACACAACAAAAAATAGCATTTCCGTCGTATTTGCTTTTTATGCCTTTTTTCCTCTTCGATTCCTTAATTATTTTTCAAGACTATATATCAGTCAACCAGGATTTAAAAAAATACTTAAATCTCTGGTAGATAATTTAAAGTATTTCAGAATTTTAGAAAAAAATCAATACCCGTTGTACTATTATTCCCAAGTTAATGGTTTAAATTTCGTGTAAAGTTACATGAGAGCTAACTGAGTTAGCCGTCCCTAATTTAGCAGTGATAAACTAGATGGAAGGCAGCTAATCAACACTACCCACTGCGAACTTTTGGGCTACTCTTTTACCAACGAATAGTGGGATTGACCGTCACATTATAATGCCTCCACGGCTAAAAGGGCGAGCATATTCGGTGATGGTAATGTTAATGGTGGCAATGATAGTAACACAGTTTGACAGTCTCCGTAATGTGAATTTTTAAAAACTTTTGGAAAATAAGATAAAAATTTTCGGTACTTTAATTACACTTTAATTAAAAACACAAATTAATTGAAAGTTTCATTTCACATAATCATATACTTTCAAGCATTCATCGGATATCCCAATACATTATTGTCATTTAAAAAACACCCTATTAAAGTCAAACATCAATATAATAAATATCAAAATGTTTTTAGTAAATATTGTGACGAATTTATTATTCTACATTTATTGTAATATCGATGTTTGTTTAAATTTAATTTACAGTTAGAAATATACATAAATTATACTGTTAAATATGTATTGCGAAACTCCCGCCTGTTCTCTAAAATTGTAGAAGATTCTCGAGTGTAAGAATCAACAATATATGTGTGTGTACGTAAACGCTAATGTAGCTTTGTATTGTTACGTAATGTGAATTTTCGAGAAACTCTCCACACGCCTATAAATAGAACCAACGCGACGCGCCTAAAAAACAGTATCCACTACTGGGTTGCTGTAATTGGTGTGTTATAAATTTCGGAAGCTATAATTGTGATTACTGTTTATTAATCGGGAAACTTCAGATATTTGCCCAGGAATATTTATAAATTTCGACCATTACAAACCATTTAACTTCAGTGGATTCACATCGGACATTAGTACTTTTACGAAATTATTATATTACTTCAGCGGTAAAAGAAGTTCGACCTGTAATCGGCGTGTGATCAGCGAGAACTACAGCTAGCTCCCTATTAAGTGAATCGTACCTATATCAACTCGAAATTAACTCGCTCATCGTCAACCCTCGATAAGACATCAAGGAAGTTCCAGACTAGAAATAAGACTTTATATTGCTTGTAAGTTTGAAAAACTTTTGTATATAAATCATTGTTTGTAATAACTATGCGTAATAATTGTTATTATAAAATGTATTGTTGTTTATATATTAAAACATATTTGTATTAAAGAAGAAACTGTGTGTATCAATCTTGTTAGCAAATATTATAAATTAGATATATATCGGCATTGATTTAACTACTGAATTTAAACTATCATTTAGCTCGGTTTCAGACCATTCGAAATTGTAATGCTCCCCAGAATGAAAGTGTGGAACGTGTTCAGTACTTATAATGCGGGTCGAACCTTGAGCTTCTCATCCGCAATCTTGCATGTTAACCTTGAGGCCACGTCTGGACGTAAAGGCTGACAAGAAATATATCTTTTATCACATTACGATCTCAGTTTAAAAATTATAAATCTTTAACAGAGTGAACAATGACATACCAGTTACTAACTGAAAACACCGAAGTATATTTTAATGTGAAGTCTTTAGTTCCCTTAGAAATGTCGAAAGAGATTTAAAATAGGAAAAATCAGTCATAGTTACTTAAAATGATTTCCTTACTAAAATTTAAAAAAAAAAATGTTAGACACATCAAGGACACATCAGTTTATTGTGGCAGTTCACGGAAAATAACTAAATAAAGTTATACCTACAATATTACATATATCAAAGTATTATTTTTAATTCACATTACACAGCAATCTATCTTTGGTGTTTTAACTCATTAACAAAAGTGTTTCTCTCGAATATTCAATGCTATCGTAATCACATCAATTTAAGTCCGTATGTGATTTTCACTACTACAGAATACATTCCACTATCAGTTATTCGTTGGTTCTTTCGTCCAGTTTGATGTTTTGGAACTAGGGCTTTTACCATGATTCGTGGACGATACTGTTGAGACTGTCGAGTTTACCGAGGATTGGCCAACTCTGGATGTGGTAGACGCAGGTTTACCAGAGCTCTTGCCACAAATATGGAGATGATTCTCCCAGTCTCGGTGTTGACAAAAAGAACCACAATACCTTGCGATATTACACCCACTACAAGTCTCGTGTGCCTTTCTTCCACAATTCCAGCAATTCTAGAAGGAAGAGTTACTCAAGTTATATGTATGTTGTTGTTTTTTTTTGGTTGTATTTCACTTTCCACATTAAACCTATATTTATACACAGGATTTGAAGCATGGATAGGTTTAATGTGGTGAATAAAACACAACTAAACCAACATAAGTATAAGCTTTGTCTTGTTCTGTCAATTTGCTCTCGTATGCGTTATTGATGGGGTGTTGAATTTCACCAAACTGGTACAACTCGGTGACAAGTGTTGAATCAAATGATAGATTGGACTTCATATTTATTTCAAGTTTTATGTGTTCGTGAGTGTGTTGATTCTTTCTCTTAAAAACATCGTTTGCATGTTATTTACTAAATGCAAAGTTTAGCCTCATTTCATCTTACTATTGTGCGAAACATTTATTCATCTAGTTTGATACAAATTAAGAACTATCAAACTTAGGTTTATCTTCCAGCTAACCATCAGACATGCTGAATTATGTTATTCGAAGAGGTATTTCTAAGAAGTTTTACACTTAATTCTTTGTACATTGTTCTTATTAAGGTTCAGTATGCTATTATAAAGGAAATTTGTAAAAAAAATTCAATATGGACAATGTATGTAAGTTCATTTTAGACGTGTTCTGTGGAACGCCCAAATACACCTCTTTTAAGCAAATAATTATGGTTGTTATTGATGTTAAAATGTTTGATCTCAGCCCTTTTTTCTTTGAAAATATTAGTAGTTTGTACATACACTAAACATATAATTTCTGCTACGTGTATAAATATATTTACATATAAAATTAGTTTTATAAATTCATGTTTGTCTATTTCTATATTACACTGTATTATGCTACAGTTTCTGTTTACTCTTATCATTGAGTCATGTACGATAACTCTTTCCGTATAATATTATTGTTAATTACTATTTGTTATACTACAATTGTCACACACTAATTGTTGAGCTTTGTTGCAATGCTTATTTCGGTGATATATTTTGATCGCCATATGTCAAAGTACAGTTCATGGGCACTCTAATTGTTAAGACGTGTTACAATACTTATTTCCGTGAAGCGTTAATGCTGATTAATGTACATGTGTATCTGAGTGCTTATGTTTATGGTATGTTATTACTGGGCATTACATGTTAGGCTACAGTTAGTTCTGTTGAATTTTATCTATGATTTGTACGTATCAAACTAATATTGGGTGAAACGATGCTTATTTCTTGTGGTTGGGTAATCTTACTATTTTTACTTTGTAGATCACGTTATTCCAGTTTTGTTTTTTTTTGTCATTACTTGTTTGTTTGTTTAAAGTTAAGCAAAGCTACACAAAGGGCTATCTGTGCTCTGCCCACCACGAGTATCGAAACCCGGTTTCTAGCGTTGTAAGTCCGCAGACATACCGCTGTGCCACTGGGGGGCTTGTCATTACTATAATTAGATAACACTTGCGGAGACTTCTTGTTTGCTGTTATTAAACGCTAAATATTTCCTGTTGATTATCACGCTAGATAACTACTGTGAAGTTTTTCTTTTCGTTGCTATACATCCAAAGTGTCTTAAATACGAGGTAACTTTTCAGTTTCCTCTTTCATTGTTGGCAAACGTTAAATAACTTCTGTTAGGTGTTTCTCTTTGTGCTAACACTATACTTTTTATTTGTAGCCTATAGATTGCTGTTACAAGTTTGATGATTTATATCTTTCTGTGGTAGTTCCTCTTAGCTATTACCTTAAAGATATTTCTATTCTGTTTAGACTTTGTATCATAGATGTTACTAATTGTTAAATAACCTTCTTCTTTTTATTGGCTGGTATTAACTAGCTTCCGTGCTCTTGCTGTTGGATATTACTTGCTATATAACGTCTGCATCTTATTCCTATTGATTGTCAATTAACACTATAGTATACTTACTTCTGTGGAATCTTCTTGATGGTTAATAGAAGTCAGGACATCTTCTGATCCTTGACGCCTTGCTTCTGAGATAAGCCTCTCCATTTTCGCTCTTTCTACAGCAACTAACTCACTGGCTTTAGATTCTGCCATAGAAACAGCCTTCTGGAGTTCAACAACAGCCTGCCGTTTCACTTCGTTTACCGCTTCTTCTAAAAACAGCTAATTACTCACACATGATACAACATCCACTAGTCCTTTCTTCTAATTAGTTGTATATCACAAATATACAGTATTAATTTCTCACAAATAAACACACACACACACAACTCAAAACAATAGTCAAGTGCATTTGCACAAATGACATAGCTTAGACAGTATATCACTCGTTGCTATAGCATGTACGCCTTTTACAAGCTAGCGAAGAATTACAATTAAACTTGTCACAAGATATCCGTACTAGGCCTATTTCATTTTTAAACACTACATTCTTTATCTACTCCTTTAGAAATTTTCGAAAATTAGAAGAGTGTATAATAAAAGGTGTTAAAAAAAAGGGAATGTAATGTTTAAGAATGGAATAGGTCTAACAATGGTGTCTTATGACAAGTATAATTGTACTCATTTTTCGCCAGCTTGTAAAAAAAAACGTACACACCGTAACAATTGTTGTTGTATCATATGGCTTATATAAATAGTGTTCATACCGGTTCTGCGTTTTTGAATAGAACTGTTTAAACAACTCGATTCAATTATGTACCAGCTGCTCAGTGTCGGCTAACAATGCGAAGAATTAAATTGTGGCGAAGTGCTACAATTTTTCAACCACCTATAGAATGATAGGTTTCTTTTTCTGAGTGTTTGTTTGAATTTCGCGCAAAGCTACACGAGGGCTATCTGCGCTAGCCGTCCCTAATTTAGCAGTGTAAGACTAGAGGGAAGGCAGCTAGTCATCACCACCCACCGCCAACTCTTGGGCTACTCTTTTACCAACGAACAGTGGGATTGACCGTCACATTATAACGCCCCCACGGCTGAAAGGGCGAGCATGTTTGGTGGGATTGGGATTCGAACCCGCGACCCGCAGATTGCGAATCGAGCTCCCTAACCACCTGGCCATGCCGGGCTTTTCTGAGTGTAAAACACTTAAATACACCATTTGGATTGAGCGAAACGTGACGTTGGCAATGGATAGAAACCAATATAGTGTGGTTGGAATAATGATATTACACACTTTTCTAATTATCGAAAATCTTTAAGAGACTAGATAAAAAATGTAATGTTTAAAAATGTAAGAAGCCTGATACTAGTGTCTATGACAAGTATAATAGTATATCGGTCTTAAAATAATCACGTCTTGAAGCTCTAAGCTTTTTTTATTTAGCAATTTCCATACCAGTGCTTCTCGCTTCAATGAGTCAAGTTAGCTGACAATTAGAAATTACTATTCTGCATAAAATTACAATCGGATTGTTTGTTTGTTTTTAATCTCGCGCAGAGCTACCCGAGGGCTATCTGCGCTAGCCGTCCCTAATTTAGCAGTGT